CTAAACCCTAAACCCTAAAGTTGGGAACCCAAGAGCCTCGATCCCGAAGAGGAGTGTATAGGGGAATCCCAGCGCGATGTGTGCTCAATCCGGTTTCCAACTTTTCTGGGGTCGGCTTCTCCCCTCTAAGCTGAAGGTTTAGGGTTTAGGGTTTAGGGTTTAGGGTGTACTGCACAAACCCTAAACCCTAAATCCTGTTGAGGGCGTCCGCAAAAAGCTGTAAAAGAGGGGGCCAGGGATCTTAAGGCTCAGGCGTTTAGGCCTTGAGGGCGAGGGATCGTGGAGCCCCAATTTATTTAATTTAGGGGTTTAGGTTTAGGGTTTAGGGGTTTAGGGTTTAGGGTTTAGGGTTGGAGGTTTAGGGGTTTAGGGTTTAGGGTTTAGGGTTTAGGGTTTAGGGTTTCACTGTGGCGGGAAAGCGCGACTGCAGAATGTGGTCCCTGATAGCGATGGGCGTCCGCAATGTAGCGTTTAGGGTTTAGGGGTTCAGGGTTTAGGTTTAGGAGATGTAAACCCCGGAGGACAGTCACCATGCACCGGCGAGCCCTGACGATTACATCACTTGGCGACTGAGTCCCCTCTTGAAGTTCTACCAGGACCGCATTCCGGTCTACATGTGGCGGCCGCTGGCCCTGCAATCCGAAACTCGAAGCCCTGAACCCAACCCTGCGTTTTTGCACCCAGGTCCAAATCCCGCACCCCCTGGCTTTGCCCAGCCAAAGCCTCAATTTTAGTAACCAACGCCTCTGTATTACCAAACAGACTCAGTTTGAGTGTCCGCCTGCTCATCTGCTTTGGTCCTTCCCCAATTCTTAAGACCCTGAGGCAACCTCAACTTAAAGTAAAACCCTCAAGATGGAACCTCCGACTCCACTTTAGTGGCCCGAAGACTAATCTACCCCATTAAAACCTTATTGAAACTATTCGGGACCCTCTCTTATGCCCATTCCGTCTTTGTCTGACCCCAAGGCGCCTCGTCATTCAAGCCCTCTTCATGAGAACTCTAAACCCTAAATGCGAAGCCCTACACGGGTCTGGACCCTGAGCCCTAATCCCTCACTGTAAGGCGCCTGATCATCCAAGCCCTCTTCATGATCGCCACGGTCCTCACCGCCGTCCCTGGATCCTTGTTGGATACCATTTTTGCATTTTTGCTATAATAAAAACAACCCAATAAGGAGTAAAAGCAATAAGCCCTAAACCCTAAACCCTAAACCCTAAACCCCTAAAGCCCTAAACCCTAAACCCTAAACCTAAACCAGGTCCTCTCTGCAGCGGATCAGACGAACTGGACGGCGATCGTCGTGAGCATCTCCAGCGCCTTGGGGTCATGGCAGGAGCTCGGCTAAAGTTCCCTAAACCCCAAACGCTAAACCCTAAACCCTAAACCCTAAACCTTTTAAGGCTTCCGTTAAGGTTCCTTGAAGGTTCCGTGAAGGCTTCCTTTAAAGGGTTCCTTTAAAGGCTTCCTTACTAAAGTAGACGGGATATTATGTATATTTATATATATACACACATACATATATATATATATACATATATATATATATATATATATGTATATATGATAGAGGGCCTTAAGTAAATGGACTAGGGTTTGGAGGCATGTTCTGTTCTTTTAGAACTTTAACTATCGCGGGACGCTGTTCGTGATTTGTCAGGCCTCAACCCAAAACCCAAAACCCTAAACCCTAAACCCTAAACCCTAAACCCTAAACCCCAAACCCTAAACCCCAAACCCTAAACCCGAAGCCCTAAGCCCTATGTGCAGGAGTTCACATGCGTAGACAAGAAGCTTGAGCGATATGGCACGGTGGTGGCCACGCTCCACAACCTGATGCCAGGTTGAATTGGATTTAGGGTTAAGGGTTAAGGGTTTAGGGTTTAGGGTTTAGGGTTTAGGGTTTAGGAGTTTAGAATTTGCAGATTGAGAATGTTTGTCTTTGCATCTCTTTGAGGTCTTGAGATGTAGCATGCTCTGTCATGTGATGACCCGCTCTGTTGTGCTAATCTGTGGTACTTGTGGTACTTGCTCTTTGTGCTATTCCAGATTGCATACTGTCATGTTAATTATCAGAGATGGGGATTTCTTGGAGACCAAACCAAGGCAATCGTGACACGTATGCTGCGAGGTAGCAGCCTTCGCATTCTGAAACTCCCGTATGGCAATCTCAGAACATGTGCAACCCTTCTATAGATCCTTAAACCGTATGATCCTTATAAGGCCCCCCCCAAAACGGGACTTGAACCATGAGCCCTAAACCCCGAATCCCAAGCCTGAAACCCCGGGCTTATGCCCCAAAAGTCCTCATATCTCAGAGCGTCTCAGGATGCTCTGGTGGCAGACTCTTCCCGACGTGGACAAAGCAAACACTCGCCACATCGAGAATCTGGTTGAGAGGCCTCGGTTAGGAGTTTAGGGTTTCGGGGCTTCGGGTTAGGAGTTTAGGGTTTGGGGTTCAGGGTTTAGTAAGGGAGTTGGGGGTATGGGGTGTAGGGTTTTGGGTTTAGCGTTGGCGGTCTTAGGTTTAGGGTTGAGGGGCGCGGACCAGATTCGTCAGTTTGGGCCACTCTTCTCTTTTTCATCCCGGGGATCCCCAGCGTCGTATAATATAGGAACCGACAATACTTGCCAATACTATTTTGGGGGTT